CTGTCTTGGGGGGAGGGGGAGAAAATTTAAAACTTGAAATCTTATGGAAGTGAATGTTGAAAAATATAAATAAGTTAACTAATTATTAAAAATCACTTTGTGTGGAGGAGGCTTGTGGAGGGGGCCAGCCTGAGGCAGGAAGATCAGTTTGGGGGCTGTTGTAATAATCTAGGTGAGAGGTGATGGGGCAGATCTGGTCTAGGGTGGTGGCCTTGGGGGTAGAGAGCAGGACACGTTGTGGCAAAATGAGAAAACATATGTAAAGCACTTTGTAAATCTTAGCACGCTGGCTGTCAGCAGCAGCATCTTCTTCCTCCGCATCCTCATCTTCATCATTAAGCTGATTGGAGGTGGGGGATGTGTTGAGGACATTGGAGGTGCCCTTTCTTTGGTAACAAAGTGGTGCAGGCAAGAAAAACTCCCCAATATATCGGTCAAACTCTGGGATGGATGTATCCTTCTGCACCTCAGTCCACCACCTGTCTGCAGAAAGGTGAGGGGCAGCTGGGTGGCACAGTGGATAAAGCATCGGCCCTGGAGTCAGGAGGACCTGAGTTAAAATCTGGTCTCAGACACTTGACACTTGCAAGCTGTGTGACCCTGAGCAAGTCACTGAACCCCAAATTGCCTCACCAATAGTAGTAATAATACTAATACTAATACTAATACTACTACTACTACTAATAATAATAATAATAACTGGAAGGTGGGCAGCTAGCTCCATCATCAGTCTTTGGCATCTGTTCGGATCCATTGCTCAGACCGTGGCTCTTTTTCTTTGCCAAGAGTCTCCGTATAATTCTTCTGGATCTGCTAATTCCCCCGCATGGGCTCATCCAAGCTGTACTGTATTTTTCTGAACTCCACGGTCACGCTTTCTTCTGGTTCAATAATATCCCCTCACACAATATCCTCAGCTGGTTCCGCCATTCCACACTTGAGGGGCGCTGCTTTCGTTTCCAATTCCTTTGCTGCTGTGAATGTTTTTTGTCCAAATGGAGCCTTTCCTCCTTCACCCTATCTTTCAGGCAATCATCCTCCCATGCTGCCCTCCGTGTGCTCCCAGAGATGATTGCAAGGATGGACAATGAGGACGAGAAGGAGGGTGGCTGCCTCGGACGTGGAGGCAGGTGGGAAAAGGGCTTCTGTGCGCCCTTCGGGTCTGAAATGATTGGGGCTGGCAGCTTTCATTCTGGGAATGTCACCAGTTGCCAAAGGACTGTGTGTCCTCTCTGATCAAAGGGTAATTAGAGAGAGAAATTCCCAGCACAATTAGAGGCTTAATGACTTCAAGTGGGAAAGTGTTAACATCTCACCCCAAGAAAACTAGGGAGTGACCCAGCTGCCAGTGAGAAAGGCTGCCAGACCACGAGGGTGCCCCCAAAGAAGAGTCAGCAGAGCCTCTGGGAGGCTCGGTGGCATCAGCCCATCTAATACTCAGGGCAATTAGAGGGTCAACCGTGACCTCAGGCTGCACCCGCCAATTGTAGAACTGGGAGAGGCCTTAAAACAGGGGATGGTCAGAGCTGGGAGGGCCTTAGAACAGGAGATGTCAGAGCTGGGAGGGGCCTTAGAACAGGAAATGTCAGAGCTGGGAGGGCCTTAGAACAGGAGATGTCAGAGCTGGGAGGGGCCTTAGAACAGGAGATGTCAGAGCTGGGAGGGGCCTTAGAACAGGGGATGTCAGAGCTGGGAGGAACCTGAGAACAGGGGATGTCAGAGCTGGGAGGAACCTGAGAACAGGGGATATCAGAGCTGGGAGGGGATTCAGAACAGGGAATGGCAGAAGTGGGAGGAGCCTTGGGACATCACAGCTGGGAGGGGCCTTAGAACAGGGACCATCAGAGTTGGGTAGAAAATGACAGACCACGCAATCCTGATTTTCCAAATGAAGAAACTGACTTCTCAGAGAAGTGAAAAGCCATTTGTTTTACCCACCTGGTATCAGTGAAAAGACCAAGAGGACAGGGAAGATCAGAAGGGAGAATGAGAAGATGAATCTGGATGCATGGTAGAGTTAAGGAATGTGTCGGAGGGGTTTTTGGCATAAAAGAAACAGCTCCCCAGGGATGGAAAGGGATTGGAGGCAGTGGGTCAGTGACCAGAGCATCGGCCTAGAGGCCAGGCATCCTGGACTCTCTTCTTTGCTCTGATGCCAAAGGGCTGGGTGTTCTCAGGTTCTCAGGTTCCTGGGACCCAGCAAGGCCACTCCATGGGGTGAGAGCAGAGCAGCTCGGCTGGATGTAGCAGCTTTTTATTTACCAACTTGTAAGTGCATGCTAAGCTCAGGTGTTTCTATGCTGTTGAAGGCCTGAAAGTGGTGTCAGATCCCTCCCCTTGGGGCAAAGCCCCAGCCAACCAGCCCTCTTCCTCGCAGTCACAGGAGCCCAGATCTTGAGCAGGAAGGAAGCTGGGAAGTCACCTAGTTCAAACCTCTTGTTTTATGGAGGAGGAAATAGAAGGCCCAGAGAGGTTAAGTCATTTGCCCAAGGTCACACAACCAGGCTATGTCAGAGACAGGTCTTGAACCCCAGTCTTCCTGACTCCAAGCTGGCCCCCAACAGCACCTGCTAAAACATTTAATCAGCAAATGTGTTTAGTACTTACTAGGTATCAGATGTACCCTACAAGGCACACAGGTAGAAAGGGAGTCAGGATTTGAACTCAGCTCCTAGGACTTCAGTGATTTTCCTCCTACACTATATTAGACTCTGCCTGGAGAGTCTGCTTGCTTGACGTGGCCAAGCCTCTGGCTCTGGAGTCGCTTCCTTGTGAGCTGGGGAGACTTTGGGCATGTCCTTTGCCCTCTCCAGGCTTCAGTGTCCCTGCCTGTTCAATGAGGCAGCCAGGTTCCAAGATCCCTGGAGCCCCTTCTGGCTCTAAGCTCTGCTCCGAGGAGCCTGAGGGATCCCGGGGGCTGATTCATGAGACAAGATTGAGCTGCTAAACGGCTATCTCCCTGCCCAAATGTGCCACATGTCATAAGCCAGGGAAGGGCACAAACAGCATTAGAGACAGATTGTTCCGAGGGCCAGAGGGAGGGGGCAGGGAGAGGGCCATGAGAAATAATGTGTTGAAAAGGAGCTGAGTGTCAGGAAAAATGATCCCACCATGAAGTCTATTAGAGCTGAAAAATGGATAGATATCTGCGGTGGAGGGGGGGAGACCTCAGCAGGCCGGTCATCGGAGATGAGACTGGACACAGGAAGGGACAGGCCGCTGCCCAGAGCAAGGCTGCCCTGGAAGATTGAAGGGGCTCCCCCAGCACCCAGAAACCTTCCCGTGACCTCCTCTTTCTCCAGCTGACTCTCCCCGCAGAAGGTCAGGGGCAGTGAGAGCATCGGCTCTCTATTTCAGACAGCTTCGCTTCCCAGATTCCTCAGGGGGGTGTCTGTAGCCCTGGATCCCCTAAAGGCTGACAGCCCCCCAGGAGAGCAGAGAGAGAGGGTTCTGAAGTCCTCCAGGAGGTGCCTGGCTGTCAGGAAGAGGGCAGATTTTTGCCAAGGAGGCCAAGTTCAAGCCTTGGAGGCAGAGGATTCATGGACAGGAGGAGCCCACCCAGTTCAGTGATGGGGGGTTATCAGAACATAGATTCTGGGCTAGAGGGGAACTCAGAGGTCATCTAGTCCACCCTCATTTGGCAGAGGAGGAAACCGAGTCACTTAACCTGATAATATTCAGGTCCTCATCGCCTCTCCTCCAAACCGGCCTCCCTGGCTCTCCAGTCCAGCCACCACATCATCCCCCTGGTCCATGAACTCCACAGTGGCTTCTGTTACACCTGGACTCCAATCTAGGCACCTCTGCTGGGCAGAGGTTGGGAGAGGAGGTAAGAAGTGGCAGACATAGGGTTCAATCCCAGGCTCCCTGAGTGCCCCATTCAATGCTCCTGTGGGTGGGCCATGTTTCCACGTGATGCAGTGGAGAAACTGAGGACTGGGGCAGAGAAGGGAGTTGGCCAGAGGCAGCCAGAGGAGGGAATTTGAAGCCACATCTCCTGATCAGGCCGCCAGGACTCTCCCCCTTCTCCTGCCCCCTGAGGGAGGTACCTGATGTCCCCAGATGCCAGGAAAGCCAATGGGCTGCCTTGGACTTTAGGGTCTTCCCCCTGGAAATCAGGGGCCATCGCATACCACAGGTTGTCCCCTAAGCCCCATGTCACTGTGAACTATGCCCCAGTAGAATGTAACCCCCCTCAGGCCAGGGACCTCTTTTTTTTTTTTAATCTCTCTCATAATTAGAATGGCATCCAGCATAATTTTTGGAGTAGTACTGCCATCAGAATAGGACACACCTGGTGGGGAAAATTCCTCTAATCAATCAGTCAAGCATTTCAAAATATGAAACTTAATTTTTTCCAATGATCATGCATTTATTTTCTTTCCTCCTCCCCTAATTGGGGGTGGGGAAAGAAAAACAAAAGCCCCGTAAAGTAAGCAGAATGATCGCCCTCTAAAAACCACCTGCGGCATTCTGCGCTTCTGGCAGGAGGCCGGCAACAGCTTCAGCGCTCAGCAGCGGTCTGGGATCTCAGCCCCAGGCCCTGGGCTGATTGACCGGGATACAAGAACAGAAGGGAAGCATTCCCTGCCCTCCAGGAACTTAATTCTATCAGGCTGTGAAAGGCTTTATTAAAAGCCAAAGGAATGCTTGCGTTTGAGCCTCGAGGTGATAGGGAGCTACTGGTGTTTATTGAGGGAGGGGTGGCACAGTCAGACCTGGGCTTTGGGAGATCCCAGAAGGAGAGAAGCCGCTTAGTCAGCTACTAGCATTTACTAAGCACCTACCGCACGCCAGCCACCTTGCTAAGCACTAAGGGCAATTATTGAAATAATTCAGGAGAGAGGGGTGAGGGCTCAAACACCCAGGGCTTGCCTGTTTTGCTCACAGTCTCCAGCTAATATGTGTCAAAGATAGGATCTGAAACGAGGGCTCCCTGACCTCAGGGCCCATCCTCCTCCCATGAGGCCTGGCTGTCTCTTGGGTCTGACATTTGCGCATTCAATGTATTTTATTATCTTTTCTTACATCATTTACATCTTACAATCAAGCTTCCTTCCCCTCTCCAGGAGAGCCATACCTCATAATAAAAAGAATTGTTTCAATGAAAATAGTTATTGATGCTTGAAGGCGGGCAGAGTGAGTGAGTATTCTAACACTCTCTAAAATCTCCGAAGGTGTCTCCGAGCTATAGATCAAGTGAAAAACCACCTCTGCTTTCCTGGCTAGTGAGGGATGGCTAAGAAAATGGTATATCCGTCTTCCAGGCATGTTACAGTGCTGTGGAGCTGAGGTTTCACTTCTGAGCAGGGCTCACCTTCCTTCTGTCTCGCGAAGCCAGGTATGTCTGACTGCTACTTACCAAACACCACTAATTGGCGGGCATTTGGAGCTCCTCTAAACCAATGATAGACCTTCACAGTCACTTTGGTCAGTGCTGCCCGGCTCCGAGAGACACAGCAGGGCCAGGGTGATTTAGCAGAATGAGGCGTGATGAGGGTGTCCTCCATTACCTGGGAGCTGTCCAATTCTCCAAGGTCTTCGAGCCAGTGAAACCACAGTCCCCAGGACCTGCCCTGAAGCCCAGAGCTGATGGGGTGTAGTGGAAGGAACCAGAGACTCCTGGGTTCAGATCCTGGGGTGGTCAGCAGCTGTGTGACCTTGGCTAAGTCACTCGCCCCTCTGTGGCGGGTTGGATCTTTGGTCAGTGGATGTAGTCCGTCCTCACTCCAAGTCCCTTCTCCTCTAGGCCTCTCTTTCCTCACCTACAAAATGAAGGGAGGGCTCGGACTCAGTGACCTAAATGATGATTCTATAGTAGATGAGAGGAGCAACACAGTTTTGTTAACAGGATTTTACTGAGCCAGTCAGCTCAGTAACAATCCTGCTCACAGTTTCATGGTGAATGTGCTGGTCTTGAAATCAGGAAGAGCTGGTGACCCTAAGCTAGTACCCTCTGAGCCTCAGTTTCCTCATCTGTAAATGAGAGGGAGGGTCCCTTTCAGCTCTCAGATTACGGTCCTTGGATCTCCACGGTCCTTCATTAGGATGGAATCTTCCTGTGAGAAGGGACTGCTTCCTTTTTGGTACGTGGGTCTAGCGCAGTGTCTGCCATGTTGGAGATTCTTGACCGATTCTAGCCCCGATCCTTACCCCGAGGTGGATGGACTCGGTGGCCGCCAAGACCCTGCCCTTCCACCTCTGCCGGTCTTTGCGTTACAAAAGCATCTCTAGGGCTCTCAGGTCAGACTTCTCATGGGCATTTTCTTGGTGTAAGAAAGGAAGGGCACTGGATGCACAGTCTGAAGACATGCATTCAAGCCCCAATTCTGTCACCTAGCTAGTTGTGGGGCCTTGCGCAAGTCACTTAAGTTCTCTGAGTCTCAGTTTCTTCATCTGTCAAAATGAGAAGTCTCCCTCAGCATTACCTCACTAGGGTCTTGGGTGGATCAGATGAGATCACCCACAGAAAAGCACTTTGTAGCTAGAAAGCCCAGCACACAATAAAGGTGTTGGGAGAATGGGGGAGATGGGTCCTCAGGGCAAGAGGTCAGGAGCTGGTGCTTAGAGGAAAGAGCCTCTGGAGGCCCTGAGCACCTCCAGGGTGAGGCAGCTGGCCAGGACAGACCTCGACTGGAGGGGCTGGTGCAGAGGCTCATCAGATCCCAGACTGTCAGAGCTAGAAGGTGCCTTGGGGAGCCTTTCCTCCCCATCCGATCCACAGGAAGTCATCCAGATTTCGATTAGAGGCTCCCAGGGCAGGGCAGCCCCTGACCCCCTCCCTGCAACAGCCAGCCATTGTGAGCCCCAGCTTTGCTGGCTGCCCCAGCCCTCCCATTCACTGCTCCTCGCCCTGCTCTCTGGGGCCTTATTAATGATGATGATAATAAGACATTTCTGAACCTACAAACCTGAAAGTGTTTTATGTGTGTGATCTCATGATGATAGCAGCGATAGCTCATTCTTCTCGAGGACTTCCAGGATCGCCAGCCTTTCCCTCTCTCCTTCTCCCGCCTCCAGAGGGACAAGCTGGATGGACACAGTAGGAGGTTGGGGTCACTCCCTGAAGCCAGATCTTTGGGACCGGATTTGGGCGACCTCCATGAACCTCAGTTTCCATATCTAGAAAACGAGCTTGTTGGGTTACCTGACTTCTGAGGTCCCTTCCAGCATCAGGCCTGGTGTTTTTTGTTCCATCAAAGACAAGTGACCGCTCGGCTGCCCCTCAGAATCAGAGGACCCTGGCATCGTCCATCTGAGACATTTCTTAACAGCCCAAGGGAAGGGCTTTAAAGCGCCCAGTCTCTGGTTCTGCATTTGTCCTACACACACCTGTTCTCTGGTCTCTAGGTTTCCCTTTCTGTAAAGGTTTGGACTCAATGACCTCTAAGGTCCTTTCCTACTGATATCAACCCTATGGGCCTTTAAAACGCAGAGTTAGAGGGCCCGGATTCAAATCTTGCTTCTGACATTTACTACCTGTGTGATGATGTCTGACCACACTTTTCCCCCTACCCATCTAGCTAGGTTTTATTCACCTGGACAATGTGATACTGACAACCCAGCAAATGTGGAAACGGAAAGCAAAAATGTAAACTTGGGGGTGGGGGATGGGGGAGGCAAAAAGACCCCAAAGTGAGAGGGGCTGGAGCCTCTGCCACCAGGGAGTTCTTCTGTATGGTTCTGGCCCGAGCAAACTCCATCTGGTCCAATTTCCTTATTTCAGGGAGGATAAAGCTGAGGCCCGGTGAGGGTAAGTGACCTGGCCGAGGTCACACAGCTAATGGTGGCAGGGCTAGAATCAGAACCCGGGTCTTCTGACTGTAGACCCTGCACTCCCTGAGGTTCTGTGTGGTGAAGATTCCCTGAATCAAAGACTGTGCATCCAGGAAACTGTGTGTCTTTCAGGGTGTTGCCACAAGGTAAAAGGACAGTTTCCATCGTCGTATGCTGTCTGGTCCTGTCTGACTATGTGACCCATTTGGGGTTTTCTCAGCAAAGATGCTGGAGGGGTTTGTGCCATTTCTTCCTCTGGCTCATTGGCAGATGAAGAAACTGAGACAAGCAGGGTTAAGTGACTTGGCCAGGGTCATACAGCTAGGAAGTCTCTGAGTCTGGATTTGAACTCAGGTCCTCCTGACTCCAGTCCTGATGTTCTATCCACTGCCCTGCCACAGTGCCCATCCTGGGGGGCTAACTGTCCAGCCTCATATATAGAGCAGAGCTGATAGGGCCATTACTCACAATCTGATGGCCGTCTTGTACTAGGGAAGGATGCTGACATCTTGGCCAGCCTCCTGTCCAGGCCCTGGCCACTACTTCCTCTCTGTCTCCTGCAGTTTTCATTAGAGCTGCTGCTATCCTCTGCATTTGGCCCTATGGAGCTGGACCCTGGAAAAGCAGAGTTCTACTGTCCAGCCCTCTACTGTCCAGCCCTCGAGCATGGCCAGCCATGACCCCCTCAGCTGATGGGCGGGCTTCCCGAGGCTTGGGCTCTCACTGGATTAGCAGCAGGGGCCCAGGAGGGGTTGGCCAGTGGACAATAGCACCTGCCCTGGCAGCTGGGACGAGGGCCATGTCATCCCATGCCCCAGACCAAAGAGCTAGAGGGGAGCTGCAGCTCTGCGAGGTTAATGAAATCCCTGTGAGCAAGAGCTGACAAGTGGAATCCAGGCCTTGGAAGCCAGCCACAGGTGACTGTCATTAGTGGACCTTTGGTACTCTCTCCAATTAATGACCCAGCTTAACAGGGGCTACCTGGCTCTCCTCCCCTTGTTCTGTGTGTGTGTGTGTGTGTGTGTGTGTGTGTGTGTGTGTGTGTGTGTGTGTGTGTGGAGAGAGAGAGAGGGAGAGAGAGAAGAGACAGAGAGAGAGAGAAAGGAGAGACAGAGAGAGGGAGAGAGAGAGAGGAGCGAGAGACTAACAAAGAGAAAAACAGAAGAGAGAGAAAGGGAGATGGAGGAGGAGAGTGAAAGAGGGGAGGTAGAGAGGGGGAGAAAGGGAGAAGGAGAAGGAGAAAGAAGGAAGGAAAAAAGGAAGAAAGGAAGGAAGGAAAGAAGGAAGGAAGGAAGGAAGGAAGGAAGGAAGGAAGGAAGGAAGGAAGGAAGGAAGGAAGGAAGGAAGGAAGGAAGGGACTCCAGGACCCTGCCCTTCACCTGAAGGGTCTGGGACAGCCCCATTATCCCAGTCTCTGCCCACAGGATCACAGGTTTGGAGCTGGCCAGTCTTCCTCTCTCTGTCTTCCCTAAATCCTAAAACCAACCATACAACCACCAGTCTAGGGCTGGAGCAGACTCAGGCACCATCTAGTCAACTCCACTCATTTTATAGATGGGGAAACTGAGGCCCTGGGAGGGGTAGGGGCTTGGCTGGAATCCCCCAGATAGTCAGGGGCAGAATGGGACATCCACTGTACTCCGCTGCCCAGGGTTCAGAGACCTCAGAAGTTAGTCAGCTTTCACTGCAGAAAGGCTGTACGTCTTACAAAGAGGCCTTGTGCAGGGGAAAGAGTCTGGAGTCAGTGTCTGAGGCCCTGGGTTCTAGTTCTGGCTCTAGCACACAGTACCCAGGTGACCTCAAGTGGGCCACTCTACGCCTTTGCCACAACAGTAAAATGAAGGGACTGGCCTAAGTGCCTTTGAAAGGCCAAGGGTCATGGGGGGCGCGCAGGCCCCAACCCGGGCCTGGGGGACCCAGCAGCCAAAGTCCCCAGCAGACTGCACAATTTGAGGCCTAACCCATGAACTTTCTCTGCCTTATCCTCCCCACTCACACAAAGGGGGATCCTCTCCCCTTCCCCCCAAATGTGGTATCATGGATGGCCTAGACGTGAAGTCAGGTGGTCTTGGCCTAAGCCCTGCTTACACTAGCTGTGACTGTGGGTCTGGATGTCCTAATCTGCCAGCGAGGGGCTGAGCCAGGAGACCTCTAAGGAGAGGAACCATGAGAGAGACAACAGAGCAAAGAACACCTGGGTTCAGGTGCACGTCTGACACATACTGGGTGTGTGACCCTGGCTAAGTCACTTCCCTTTGCCTTAGCTTCTAACTTGCAGAGCAGGAATATTCCAATAAGTTTCCAGGAGAGTAGGTTTAGAGCCGGAAGAGACTTTCTAAATCTTACCTGGGGCAGCTGGTGGTACAGTGCATAGAGGAATCAGGAAGACCTGAGTTCAAATCCAGCCCTGGGTGGCCCTGGGCAAATTACCTAACCTCTGCCTGCCTTAGTTTTCTTTCTTTCTTTCTTTCTTTCTTTCTTTCTTTCTTTCTTTCTTTCTTTCTTTCTTTCTTTCTTTCTTTCTTTCTTTCTTTCTTTCTTTCTTTCTTTCTTTCTTTCTTTCTTTCTTTCCTTCCTTCCTTCCTTCCTTCCTTCCTTCCTTCCTTCTGTCTTTCTTTCTGGGTTAAGTGACTTGCCCAGGGTCACACAGCTAGTAAATGGTTGAGGCCAGATTTGAACTCAGGTCCTCCTGACTCCAGGGCCAGAGCTCTATGCTCTAGGCCATCCAGCTGCCCCTGCCTCCGTTTTCTCATCTGTAGAACAGGAATAATAAGAGCCCTTACTTCACAGTATTGTAAGGATTTGTGAAGTGCTTGGCATACACAGTGAGTGCTAAATAAATGCTCTTGTTTTTATTATTTCTGTGCAATAGAATCACTCATCTGAATGCCGGCCACACACCCCAGAAGTACCTGTCCTGCTTTGCTAGTCTTGAGGTGGCTTCCAGCTCAGGGCCAGATTCCCACCCCTCACCCCCAGGTGTCCAGGCTGAGCTCGCACAAACCACACACAGCTTCAGAGTCCTTCATCTGGTAAAAACAGAGCAAGGTAAGGGACACCACAAGGCCCCTCTTGTCAGTCTTGAAAAACGTGAGCTCTTCTTATTATCATTATCATTAGAGAAAAGGATGGCCTGATTCCAGGCATCATCTCTAGCCCGGGGCTACTGATGGATGGGGGAGGGGGAAGGCAGCCCCTTCCCAGCTTCCCTCCTTTCTGACAAGGTGGGCTCTGCCCAGCCTATTCCTAAACAATTCGGCTCCCAGCCGGGCATTTTGCTTGTCACAGTTTCCTGGCATTGACAGTCAACCTTCAATGACCCTGAGACAGATGTCTGGAGCCCTTTCAGCGGAAGCCTGGGCCGGGATGCTGGCGGCCAGCTTGGTCTCTGAGCAGGGCTGGGCTCCCCACTGGACCCCCTGCTCGAGAAAGCTGCCCAGCCAATGTCTTTTCTCCCACTGGGGAGGACTGGGGGGAAGTGGGGAGGAAGGCAGGCGTGGATGTCATTAATTCCTCCTCTCTGGTCTCTTCTCTTACCCACCTGGGGGAAGGCCTGGACCTTCCCTTCCTTTTTTCTGCCGGGCCTCCTTTTCCAGATACCTTCTCTGTTCTTGTGCCTCACACCATTTGGGTAAAGAGCCCTCACCAGCCTTGTGCAGTCCTAACAACTATTTTCGCCTACCTTCCTACCCTTGGCATGGGTCTGGGGGTGGGCCAGGGTTGGGGGATCACAGAATCACTGACTTCCAGCATTGGAAGGAGCCTTGAAGGCCATCTCCTATAGCAGGGGAGCCAAGCCACGGGTCAGTGCAGAGTCAAGAAACACAGCAGCTGGTCTGCTGGTCTCAGCCCAGACTGTGCCAAGTAAGGTGCCCAGCTCCCATGACCACACTGACTCTCCTGCCTCGTGTGGCCATAGCCAAGGCGAGCAGACCGCATAACCCTGCCGGTCTATCTTAGCCAGAACTCTAGATTTCAAAGGAGGTGCCTAACAGAGGCCTCTAGGCAGTGGGATTTCAATCTAGAAGACCATTTAGTCTCAATTCCTCATTTTACCATGGAGGAAACTGAGTGGGGACTTAGCCAAGGCACCCAGCTATTTGGTGCCAGGGCTGGGATTTGAACCACAAGTGGGGAAGGCACAAGGAGGTGAATGCTGGATGGCGTCTGCCAAGGCCAAGCTGTCAGTGGGAGGGCACGTGGAAGAGCTCAGCCCATGTGGGCGGAGGCCCAACCTTGGGTTGTGGACCATA